GGTCGGCAGGGCGTCCCGTCCACCACGGCAGCTGCCCGCTCCGTGTAGAAGTTGAAGCCCTCGGCCAGGCAGTTGAGAGAACAGGATTTCACGCCCCCTGCCAGAGAAAAGGAGGCGAGAGGAAGGGCTGGGAGGGGCAGGAGTGAAGGGCTCACTGCATGGCCAAGGGTTCAGGCCCGCTCACCAGCTACCCTGTGGGGCGTCGGAGATGTCCAGGCAGACACGCAGGACCCCTGGCCTTCCTCTGGGCTCACGCTGCCGGGGAACAGACTCGCCCCTCCCCTCCTCCCTGCCCCAAGAGCAGCCCCCCGGCATTGCCCCAAGCCCCATCCGGACCGGCAGAACCAGGCGTGGCTGGGCCAGGGGCCTCGCTCAGCTGGTGGGACACGGAGCTAGGATGCTGGTCTGGGTTATGTGACGACCCCAGAGCTTGAAGTGCCCATTCAGCACTGCAGTGTCCCAAGGGGGGGGTCAACGGTACGTAGGCACCTGGGCAGGGGACACACCTGCTAGGGACAAAACGCGGCAGCTCCTCTCGTGGGCCGTGGGGCTTAGAGGCCGTTTGTGGAGCTCAGACCCGCCTGGCTTGTTACTGCACATCAAAGGGGCAGAGGGAGGGAAGAGATGGCCCAGCTGCATCTGGGCGCCTGAGAGTTCAGTAAAAGCAGATGGAGAAGGAAGAGGGCATCATCTGGGGGGATGTTAGAGGGGAGCTCAGCTGGCTCCCGGCAAAGCAGGACGACTGGGCTGGGCCGTCGGTGAAGAGGGTTGCTTTCAGTGTTCCCTCTAATTTTTCCATTCATGTGTGGAATACATTTTGTTGTGTGCTGTGATGTAGTCTGGGTACTTGCTGGGCTGTGGTGACCTCTGCTGTCCGGAGCAAGACCCAGCAGGGAAAACCTCATTATGCAAAGGTGACTCAAAAACCTGTCTGACCTGCGGCCCCCCATGGGGAGAAACAAAGGAAGGTGGAATGCTGCCCTGGCTGGGGGCAGGGCTGGAAGAGGGGGAGTTAGTTCCTGGCTGGAAGGCAGAGAAGAAGGAGCTGGGGAGGGGGGCTGGGACTCCCCTATCTCAAGGGGGGCACTGAGGCCTCTTAGCCCCAGTTCCTGTAACCAGATTACATCTGTGCTGCGCTGTGCTGGAGGAACAATAAACAACCTCCATTCTACTGGCTGGTGAAGTCTGTTTGTGCCATTTCGGGGTGCAGGAGATGGGAAAACCCCGACGCGTCGTCACACTGGTGTCAGCAGTGGGATCCACTGCACCCCATGGATGAAGCTCCCAGCGGCAAGCGACAAGGCGCCGTAGAAGCAAGAGCCCTGAAGCCAGGCGTGCTGGAGGCAGAGTGAAGCGGTTCCGGGGAATCGTGGGGCGCTGCAGCACTAGACTGGTGAGTCTGCACAGAGGGGACCAGCGGGCAGATGGCCTACGCCCGACTCTTGAAGGCAGAGCTGGTGGGGGTGTGCAGAGAGAGGGGCTTGCCTGTGCGGAAAGCAACCAAGGCCCAGCTGATTGCCCAGCTGGAAGAGAATGACCGGCCACAGGGCCAGGATCTTGTCCCCAGGGGAAGCAGCCAGACCCCCCCGAGAGTGTGTCAGGCTCAGAGAGGGGGAGGAGCGCTGGAACCCACCGGAGAGATGAGACAGCTTCCCCCAGGAGGCCTGCAAGCTGTAGCCCATCTAGGGCAGGGACCAGCCCAGCAGAGCTGCGGCGGCTGGAGATCCAGCTGCGGATCAAGGAATTGGAAGTAGAGGACCGAGAGAGGGACCGCCAGGACCGAGAGAGGCAGCGGCAGCATGAGCTGGCCATGGCAGAGCGGAGAACCGGC